ACACACACACACACACACACACAAACACACACACACAACACAGAGAGAGAGAGAGAGAGAGAGTATGTGAATTCCAATTTGTTCCCTCCTTGGTATCATAAAGGTATCATAAGGGTATCATTACGATATCATAACGGTATCACAACGGTATCATAAAAGTATCATAATGCAAGACACAAGGTCTGATATCCTATGTCAATCCACAATGGTTGAACTTGAGCTTGGGATGGAAGTAAACAAAGACATTATTTTCACATGACAATGTATATTTTACAGTGCAAATGAATAGATCTAACATAAAAGTTTATTGCAGATTTTACCAGAACTCCCTTTTTATTTTGCCTTTTATCCCTTGTACCTACCCAGTTCTTCATGTAAAAGGAGCACTGCAGCATGCTATATTTCTATCTTATCTTTTAAAATTTTCCCCGTGTATGCCAATAGACAAGGGCCAATTTTTGGCTAAGAGTTTCCATAAAACTTTGAAATAGTAAATATGGCTATTCTGATAGACATCCTACCTTTATAATTCTTTTATAAACTATTTCGGATTAACTTCGGGATAAGCTCAACTTTGTTTTGAGCTTATGGGGAAAGTTGTAAAACAAAAGCAGAAATTAGACAATAGGATTTATCATCATAGAAGTAGACAGGGAGACTTCACTGTGGAAAAAAGATGTGGTTGCCTACATCTTTCCAGGGAATTATAATGCCCGAATGTTACTTAAAAGAAATCGCTAATTATTTATTATTTGACTTTTAGCTTTTCAAGGCGAAGACACTTCTACAATCTAGCTCTGGTACGTTTTGAGATCTCAGTTACCAAGAGTGACAATTGTATTGTGTACAGTAAACTTTCTTCAGGTGTCCCTCTGTCGCGATCGAATCCGTGGCCGAGTACCAGTAATTAAAACGGGCGAGTTCTCACTTGTGTCCGCATAAGTCAACGTCTTTATTGCCCTCCATAAATATTCATGGGCTACTTATACTCAATGATGATGAGCAGGGGTTGTAAATCCTGTATGGGTGGCATTTATCTGTTGTGCCGCCTTTCCCGTCGGTCTCCGAGAGGTTGTGCAGTTATAGAGATGGACAACACGAGGTTCGCGAGCAGGGCCGGTCGAGAGCCCTTTCTTATTTGCGCTCTTGATATTTATATCTCTCTCCAAACTGCCTGAAAGTTTTATTGGAAATCAGAGCAGGCACTTATGACAATGACGAAAATAACACAAAATTTTCCTCAATATAATGTCGGTTAATAGCTTTTTTATTACTCTTGCCCCTGTCGGATTGACAAATATTGTTACAACATTGTGGTCAGTGCAATGGTAAGGCCAGTAAAAATGAGTTTTTGTTCATAAGGAATTTAGCTTTTTAATAGTGAAACACATCAAGTAACAAAGGGAGAGGGTGAAAAAGATAGAGAAACAAACAAACAAGAAATCAAAGAAAGAAAGGAAATGAAAGACAGAGACAGTAAGGTTATGATGAGGGCTGGGAAGAAGCAAAAAGAAGAGAAAATAATATTGAAAGAGGCTTGTAAAAGACAAAGGATAAATCTAAGAAAGTATAAGGAACAGAAAGAGAGAGAGAGAGAGAGAGAGAGAGAGAGAGAGAGAGAGAGAGAGAGAGAGAGAGAGAGAGAGAGAGGATATCATTCACCACTTGAAGAAGGCACGCTCTTTTTTTATCGAGATCTACTCCATTCTAAAATGGAAAAAAGTACAAAAAAGACAACAGTCTATTTTGCCTTACGGTACAACTTGACAGATCATAAGCTGATGAAAAGTCTTTTTGGACAATGATTTTGTGCGGACCACTGCGGAGGGGGGTGGGGGTTATTACTAGAAGCAAATTGATGATATGATATGAGGGACAACGACACGCCCTTTTAACGTGCTGCAGTGTTGTGTGTTCCCGAAGGACTTCAGTTGAATTAATAGGCTGACATTGGCGGTCACGGTTCTCCATCCCTCTCTTTTGTTCGCGCCCTAATGCATGAGTTGTTGTTTCTTTTGTGTAGTTAGTTGCCCATGTGTCCAGGCTGTTTAAGAATGTTATACGTTGGTGCCCTTGGCTTTTCTTCTCTTCGATTACTCCTATCATTCGTAATTGTTCCAATCCACATTTTTTGTAATCACTAGAGTTACCGAAAAATAATTTTGGAACTCTAACAATACCTTATGACGCACCAGTTTCTACCTTCAGATTGTCACCCCACCCCAATGGCAACACTTCAGATCTAGTCCCACCATTGTGCTCATTCCTTTTTATTATATAAGATTTTAAACTTTTACTTTGCAACTTCCAGACCTGACTCGCCTCTTTGCCACGTCACGTGATCACGACGTTCTGTTGGCAGCGTGGCAGGGATGGCGTGACGCTTCTGGAGCCAAAATGAAGGAGCTGTATACTGAGTTTGTTACTCTCAGTAATGAAGCACTGGCGATCCTAGGTAAGACTGGGTACACATATAAGCACAAAACGGTAAAAGTAAATTTCTGAAGATCAAAATCAAATCTTGTCAAAGAATGTTCTTGGTGTCGGTTCAATATAATTTCGTTTTAATGGCAAGGTTATTCATTCATCTTTTAATAAAAATACGTTTCGAAATTTTAAATTATCTGGTGTGATCCCCAAAGCTGTGAACAGCAGCCTTGATTTATGTGAAAGCCATGCGCACTCTAACCTACCTAAACCTTAAAGACATTTGCATTCAAAAGAAAATGGTTCATTCACTCTATAGACGTTATTTTTATCTGTAATTGTTGTAGTTTTTATTGTTGTTGTTGTTGTTGTTGTTGTTGTTGTTGTTGTTGTTGTTGTTGTTGTTGTTGTTTATGCTATTTTTATAAAATCATCATCGTTATTTTCATCATAATATAGATTAGTTTTCATTGGGGTCAAAATACAAGCCCCAAAATCTGGTTCAGGTCAACCCAAAAGTTGTCTACGGTTAGTTCTTGCATAATGAACCCACTCACAACATGGTACTTACTACCTAACTTACTCATCCCTCTCGCCCCTCCACCCCACATCCACCT